TCACGTGGCAAGCAGGCGGCCCGCCCCCAGGCACACAGGGGAAAGAGGACCAGGCCCCGGCAGCCGCCCCTCCGACTGTGCAGCCGGGACACACTTAAGGTCGTAGCGTCAAGGCCTGGCAGTCTGCCACACAGAATCACAGCCACAGGCAGCCTGGAGCCGGCCCCACCGACACACAGCACGGGCCATTCTGTGCTACGGCCTGACAGGACACTTCGAACACAAGTCACAGAAAGGGCAGAACCCCGGGTGGGAAGGGCAGTCACAGGGGAGGCTGTGGACCACTTCTGTCCCGGCACCGCCCACAGGCCCAGGGCCAGGCCCGCGACGCGACAAGGCCTGCTCTGTTCCTCGCGGGCACATGTGACGCTGGGCTCTGGGGAGGCAGCACAGTGACAGGGACAGCATGCACACGATCCCACACTGACTGCACTGCGGGCCTCCTGGGGTCAAAGTCATCCAGTCCGAGAGCAAGGACTCTGCACGAGGCGGGGCTGGGGGGTCTCACCCTACCAGTGGAGACCTGGGCCTTCAGAGAGCCAGGGCCTGCGACTCAACAGCACAGGCCAGGGGTGGATGCAGCCTGGAGACTGCAGGTGGTGGCTCAGGGCAGGTGAGGAAGCCATCCTGGCTGGGCCAAGTGCAGTCTCCAGACATGGCCTGGAGCAGGAGGCAGAGCAGCCTGGGGCCAGCAGGGCCGACCAAGGCAGCTACCGGGGGCACGGAGGGCCGACCAAGCTGGCTACAGGGGCACGGAGGGCCGACCAAGCTGGCTACAGGGCGCGTGGAGGGCCAACCAAGCCGGCTACAGGGGCCAGCAGGGCCGACCAAGCCAGCTACAGGGGCCAGCAGGGCTGGGGCGGAGCCTGGGAACCCCAGGGAGCCCCACAGGCTCTGGGGTGCCAGTGTGCACTATCCCAAGTCAACCGGTCACTTCCCAGCTGGTCCTCAACTCCTCAGCCTGCCCGTCAGGCAGTGACAGGTGCAGGGTGCTCCCATGACAGGCAGGCCACTAAGGGGACAAAGGCAAGCAGGTGTAGGGCACAGGCCCGCAGGCCATCACCGTTCCCTGGGTCTCGAGGCGCTCCTACCCTCACACTGAGCCCCTGCGCCCAGGTCTTCCAGAGCTCCCCTGTGTGTGAGGGTTTCAGGGAGCCTTTCTCACAACGGGCTTGTCACTGCCACCAAATGATTGGGTGGGACCATGCAGATAAGGTGCTTGTGGCTCCCCAAGGGGACTGGCCAGCTCTCTGATAATGCAAATGCGGTGCGTGGTACCTCGCAGGGCTGGGACCATGCAAATAAGGTGTTAGAACCCTAATGAGGGGATTGGTCAGTTTTCCATCCTGCTAGGCTTAAAGTGAGCCCTCCCAGAGGCAGGACAGAGGGACCTCAATACCATCGCCAAGAAGAGATGGGAGTGGAGTGCAGCCTTTGGGTGCGGGGCCCCTGCACTGAGAACCTCCTCCACCCAGGAAATAGACATCACACTGGAGTCGGAGGGAGACAGTTGAGAAGGGCTGACAGAGAAACAGAGGCCACAGAACCAGGAGACCGGCAGGAGGTGGGGCAGTGGGCTTCCCAGCCCTGAGGCAGGGCGTTACAGCGGGTGTGCCGCCCACAGAGGAGTGCTGAGCACCTCTGAGCAGAGGCCTGGGGGTGCAGCCGGGCTCCTCTGAGCGCTCAGCAGAGAGCTCTGTAACATTTGCCAGGACAAGGAACAGGCCAGGCTGGGCCAACAGGCCTGCCCCTGGGTATAGCCAAGAAACTGACCTGACCCAAGCAGTGTATTCCGGGTCCTTTCTGATTCCGAACCTGCTACTTCCCTAATAAACCCCAGAACTGTGAGTACGGTCTGTGCTTTGTGTCCGGCCACTGCAACAAGTTACGGAGCCCAGAAGGTTAAGAGTGGTGGGGAGGGATGACTGTCAGGACGGGGTCCAAAGGCTGCCGAGTACAGGCATGTCTGCCCGGCTTCAGGGCCATCACCCTGGGCTGCTCTTGATCCTCCTCCCCCTGGTGAAGGCGGAGCTCCGACACCCACCCCCAATGCCCATCCCCACCTCCCAGCCCCAAAGCCTCGCCCAGCCAACTCCTCTCAAGGTCGCCAGGTGGGCAGGGAAGCCCGCTAAGGAGGCTTGCAGTGCCTGGTGCCCTCAAGGTCCCTGCAGCCTCCTCCAACTCGCCCCTGCCTCCCACCCAGGTGCTTTTTTCTCTTTCCAAACCCAGTGGGTCCTTCAAAGGCTCTAGGAAGCCTAACAGACCACCTCATCTGCCCCGCCCCTCCCAGAGATGCTGCTCCAGGCTTCACTAAACACACACCGGGCAGACAGAGGTCAAGGTCACTGTGTTACAGGCGGCCCAGGGCCTCCCCAGCCCTTACAAAGCTGCAGTCCTGAGCCTGCTCCTCCCACTGGCTCGGCGTCCCCCTCCCCTCCGGCCCGGCTAGCTCCCCCATCAGCCTGGAGCTCTCGGTCCCCTAAGCCTAAGGCATCTCGGGCAACCTCCCCACGCCATGGCCCTCTCCCACCAAGAGCTCCGACCCTCCTCTGGGACTTCTGCTGCCCCCACATGCCTCCAGGCCCCAGACTCCAATTCACCGCGACCCCATGCGCATCAGGGCGCAACTGAGCGCTGAAGGGTTTTCGGCCGCCCAGTTTTCGTGCGAGAGCCAGGCCTGTCTTACGAGGCACCCACGCATGGATTCGAACCCCCAACCTTCCAGTTAGTAGTTGGAAGTGCGTTAGCTGTTTGCACCGCCCAGGAACTCTCATTTCTTCACATAACGAGAACACAACGAAGAGGAAGGCACGAGGCCCGAGCCCTAGTCCAGGTCTGCCCCCTAACTTTGGAGAAGTTCTCAGCTCAGCAGACGGGAAGGCGGATGTTTGGGGCGGGCTGGGAGAGGCTACCCCCTTAAACGTTCCGGGTCTGTCCCCGGCGGAGGCCGCTTTCAAGGCCGACATCCCAGGGGACTGCAAGCATCGCCAGGGCGCCCTCACCCCGGCTCCCCGCCGTCGCGACAGGGGACACCCGGCTCCCCGAGACCCGGTCCGCTCACCCGCCGGGCCTTCTCCCACAGCTGGTTCAGCTTCTCCATCCGGAACTCCTCCGACTCGCGCTTCGGCGGCGGCGCGGGCTCGTTCTTCTCCCGCGAGTACTTGCCGCCGTGGCCGGCCGCCGGCGCGGGCCCGAGCAGCAGCGGCGGCAGCAGCACCAGCATGAGCACCGCGACCTGCGGCGACGCCATCGTCATCTGAGCGTAGAGCTCGCGCGGACCTCCGCGGAGTCCCGCGGCCCCGCCCCCTCAGGGTCCGCCCCACCGCCTGGCCTTCTGGACGTTGTAGTCCTTTCCGGCACCGCCGGCCGAGGCACGGCCGCTGGCGGACTACACGGTCCAGGAAGCCTTGCGGTGGCACGTGGGCGTTACCTAGGCAACCACGCCGCGGCCTCCGAGTGTCAAAGGACTCCCTAGACCCTGACCACAGCTGGCTGAACTGGAATTTGGGGAATTGTTGGGGGAGTGGGGGTAAGCCTCCTTCCCCGCTAATCCGTAGAAAGAGTGTGAAGTCCAGAAATCAGGCCCCTGTCTGACTGAAACTTTGGACTGTCCCCACTTCACTACGTCAACACTGACTCCCTGTCATTATGGGCTTAGGGAAGGCGCCAAGAGGCATGGATGTCGCAGTCAGGAGCCTTACAACTGCGGAGAGCTTCAAATCCGAGGCACTTGGCGTGTGCAAAGAGACCAGTCTGAAAGGGTGTCTCACTTAACGCCATTTTAAAGACTCGACGTGAGTCTAGAATCCATGTTGGATTTTAAAACGGCTTTTTCTTGACAGCAGGCGCTCTGGTGGCGTAATGGTTAAGGCATTCGGCTGCTAACTAAAATCTCTGCAGTTAGAACCCACCAGCTGCTTGAGAGAAAGAGGAGGAAGTCCGCTGCTGCAGAAACGACAGCCTTGGAAAGGCTGTGGGGCGGCTCTGCTCCGTCCCATGGGGTCGCGATGTTGGACTAGGAGTTGGAATCTCCTCTGTGGCAGTGGGTTTGGGTTGGGTTTTGGACAGCACTCCCCCTAACCTTCATGCTGACCTACCCGTATACCCGGAAGGAGACAGTGCTTTGATCTGGCAGGTGGTGATCTAGCCCTGCACCCTGAAGGGACATGGCTTTGATCTGACGGGTGCAGGATATCACCATCTATGGCCAAAGGGTCTTTGCACTGTGGTCAGCAAAAAACGACAACAACCAAACTCACTGCTGTCCTTGGGTTTCTCAGACCGTATGTCTACAGAAGTGGGTAGGCCAGTCTTCCTTCCGAGGAGTGGCTGGTGGGTTTGAACTGCCAGCCTTCTGGTTAGCAGTCAGTGCGGTCTGTGGTCAGACAGGTGCAAAATGTGACGACTTCTACTTGAAAGATCTTGAAGCATAGCATTGTTGGTCTGTCTTTGCAATAGACCCCCAGAAAGGGACGTGATTGAGAAAGTAATTTTTAACAGTTTACCTGAAAAACCTGTCCTGCCATTGTCCTGTGACTTCTATGCTGCTTAACAGGTGAAAAGAGGCCCCAGACGCAAACAGTTTCAATAGAGACACTTTTAGGAAGCCTTGGGCAGGACAAAGACAGCCATCCAGAAGGAGGGAAACCGCCAGCACGTGCACAATACAGATGCCGAATGGAGTCCGCTGAGTCACGGCCCTGGCCTCACTACATGGGCTTGACAGCAAAGGGAATCGTCTCAGAATTAGGGTTGCCGGACCCTCACTGCTGCGGGTGGGATTGCCAAAACCAAAAACCAAGCTCACTGCCACCGAGTCGATCCTGACTCAGAACAACTCCTGTTGGGTTTCCCAGGACATGAATCTGCAGAAGTAGATTGCCCCATTTCCTTCCATGGAGCAGATGGTGGGTTTGAACCGCCAACCTTCTAATTAGCAGTCAAATGCCTTAGACACTATGTAGAAGTGTGTGTGTGGGGGACACCAATATTTAATAATTACAGAGGTAATTATTAAAGATAGAAGGGGTTACAGGATTGGTTCTGGGCCTTGACTTCCTGGCTGGGTGGTGGTCCAAATGAGTCAAGAGCATGCCACTTGAGTCATAGCCACAATGCTACAACCCCAACCTTAATTTAAATTAGAAAAGGACGCACTAGGGCAAATTCCCTAGGTCTTCCTGGAGCATAATCTGCTTTCTACCACACTCTGCCTGAGGGCACGCTGCCCCTCCCTAGGCCTGTCCTGGGACTTGGCTTCTGCCTGGCGGCAATACTGAAGGTCAGGAAGAATCAGCGGGCCTCTGAACTTATGTCGGGCTCCCACTGCAGACCTACAGCAGCGTTCCACAAACCAAGTGCTTGAGAATTTAAGTCTCATTCACCTGCAGTAGGCTAAAGGGTGTATATGCTTGATGCTACGCACCTTCACTTATCATGGAACCCCACATACATGCCGCCCACCTACCTGTCCCTGCCGAGGCCTCATCTTACACATCCTGCTTCTGACTGCCTTGGTTGTCTTTCAACCGATGGTGATTTTGTAACTTTAGTTCCTGCTCCAAATGCTGGAGTGGCTATCTTCACCCGCTCCGTGAACTTGGACATCTTCCCAGGCCTGTTCGTTCCTATCCCTCAATAAACCTCTTTTAGTTTCCTTGGAACTGACTCCATGATGGCGCTCTATGACAGAACCACCTGTCAGGCCTTCACTGCACATGAGAAAGAAACACTGGGCCCAGGAGGCGGCCAGGTGGTTCAAGGAGGGAGCGGCAGACCCGCCTAGCTCCAGATGACCTGGGCCTGCTGGCTCCCACCCGGCCAACACTCTTCCTAACACTCTTCCTGCGGATGCAGGAAGCACACACCGGCACCCCACCACTGCTATTTGGACGGCATTCCAGACACTCTTGTTATCGGACCAAACGAGTCCCTGCTCAGTGCACAGTCAGGCCAAAACAGTTTACACACCGAGATTCAGAGGAGAGAAAATTATTTATTGCAAAGCAGCAGTGCAAGAAGTTAGGGGTAGTTAGTACCCATATCTTAACTCCCCAAAACACAGTTTTTGTAGTTTCAGGAGAGGGGGTTGTGAAAAGGTTGAGGAATTTGGGGTGTGAAGGTGAAATGGGTGAGGGATGAGTCACTAGTTTCTTGTTATCAGCTGATAGGGCCTTGGGCAGAGGGGAGAGGGTCAGCAATTAACTTTTGTTCCGTATGTCCTAGGGCCAGAGTTCATTTACAAGTTGTTTCTAAAACATTTCTATTGTCCATGGCCAGAGTTAATTTACAAGTTATTTCTAAAATACTCTGGCAAGTCTATCAGCTGCAGGAAGGAATGTTTTCCATTCAGTTCTTTAAGGCACTGAATACTCATCTGCCCAGGAGGGAAAATAGTTGGGGGTAATCCAGTCTACCTGTCTATCATCCAGGTGCCCGGGTGGGGGAAATAGCACTCGTTTCACTCTGCAGCTGAGTTGGGTTATAGTTCAAGTCCCCATTCTTTCTATAAGCACTTCCCAGGCTGGTTGGAGACAGGTAAGCAGGCAGGATAACTTTTCTGCTTAAAACCTGAGTTGAATGGAACCTCAATTCCCCACCTTTTCCATGATCATTCCCACCCTAGTTGGAGACAGATGAAGAGACATTATAATGTGTTTCATTAAAGCTGTTCTTCAGGAACAACCGATATCAGCGAGACAAACAGGAAGGAAGTTGCTCAGAACTAACATGTCCCCCTCTGGCTAAGCCCCGATCAGCTGATGACAGGAAGTTGGTGTAACTCATCCTGGTGCGCAAACCCACGGCTTTAAAAATTGACTATCCCTTTAAACCGAGGCGAACAAAACCTCAGCCAATCTCCAGCTAATTCACACCCAAATTCCAGAAATTTATATGAATATGTATGGATCCCTTTCCTGAACTTGACAAAAACTGTACCCTAACTTCACTTGGAGAGTCAGATTTGGTACTGGCCCCTGTCTCCTTACTATGTGCATGGTAATAAGTGGTTCTCATCTCTCAAGTACAAAGAAGGAAGTCTGAAGAAGAGTTGATGCTTTTGAGTTGTGATGCCGGCGAAGAATGCTGAAAGTACCATGGACTGCTAAAAGAACTAACAGATCTGTCCTGGAGGAAGTGCAGCTGGAATGCTCCTTGGAAGCAAGAATGGCCAGACTTCGTCTCACCTACTTTGGTCATGTTGTCAGAAGGGACCATTCCCTGGAGAAGGATGTCTGCTTGGTAAAGTGGAGGGTCGACGAAAGAGGGGAAAGCCCTCAACGAGATGGATTGACACGGTGGCTGCAGCGATGGGCTCAGGTGTAGCAGGGACCGTGCAGCTGGCGCGGGACCGGGCAGCGTTTCATCCTGTTGTGCACAGGGGCGCTGAGGTGGAGATGACTCAATGACACTTAACAACAACAACAAGTACGCAGAGTGTGTGAACTGATTTGTCTTAATGGCGGACCGGGCAGGGACTCACTTCAGTCCAACTTCAACTGGCTCTACCTGCCCTTGTCCCATATCAGAGATGTCTGTCCTCTCATTCCTCCCACTACATGGAGCAAACATCAACATGGCCACTCGCCTGGGGGCTTGGCCAGAGCTGGGTGTGCCCTGGGAAGGTGGTGGTTGTTGTCAGGTGCCGTCAGGTTGTGTCAGACTCACAGCGGCCCCGTGTCCAACAGAAGGAGACATTGCCTGGTCCTGCGCCAGCCTCACAGGCCTTGCAATGCCTGAGCCCATTGCTGCAGCCACCGTGTCAATCCATCTCTTTGAGGGCCTTCCTTTTTCACCAACCCTCCACCTTACCAAGCATGACATCCTTCTCCAGGGAATGGTCCCTTCTGACCACATGACCAAAGTTGGTGAGATGAAGTCTGGCCATTCTTGATTCCAAGGAGCATTCTGGCTGCGCTTCCTCCAGGAACTAAATTGGTTAGTTCTTATAGCAGTCCACAGTACTTGCAGCATTCTCCGCCAGCATCACAACTCAAAAGCTTCAACTCTTCTTCAGTCTTCCTTATTCACTGTCCACCTTTCACATTATTTTGCAATAATGAACTAATACATGACTTATGTTAGGCACATCTTGGTCTTCAAGGAGACACCTTTGCTCTTCAGCACTTGAAAGAGGTCTTTTGCAGCACATTTGCCCAGTGCAATATGACATCTGGTTTATTGACTGCTGCTTCCGTGGGACGTTTGACTGCTAACCAGAAA